TACTCCTCTACACTCAGCTCTGTGTCTCTTTAAGTACCTGCTATGAACAAAAACTGGCCAGTGAATCTGAAACTAATCTGATTCCACAATTCCAGCTCTAACAATTAAGCTTTTACAGCTTATATCATGCAGATGAATCCATTCATTTTTCAATAACTGCTCCATTCTGGACATTGTAATTCCATCTAACATGCTGCTTGCAACAAGTCCCCCACATCAAATTACTTTTGCTTGTGAATGTCTGCCAAGTTCATCCATTGATTGTGACGATCTGTCGCACAGGCTGTAAAAACGAACTTATCAAGGTTTCAATTATAATGTGTCCTAAGTGTGTTTCTATGGGATCGTTTGCTGCACACCACAGTTACAACATTTATCTCGTACATTATTTTTAAATTCTTGGTGCGATTAGCACAGTACATTGATGTGTCCATGTTTTTGGCACCTGAGGGGTGAAGGGATATATGGCCTAACCGAAAAGCTTATGCATCCTATTTTAATTCTCTGAAGAAGAACAGCCTATTGACATTCCAATCCGATGTTTCAAAATTCCAGGTATAGATCTGCTAACCTGTTGGTTTTTTTACAAACCTCACCACTGTTAACACTCTGTTACTGTTTTTCTAGATCCAACTGGAAAACCCGTCGTTACTCCCTGCATTACTTTGGTTTCTGCTAGTATCCTCTTCTCTTCTCTGCATATTCTCATCTTCCTTTCATTTCAGGGTAATTTAAAATTCCTCCTTTACCAGCTTTTGCCATATAATACATTTGTCCAAAGTGTTCTCCACTAAACTCTGTTCACTGCTCTGTATAAGCTTTCTACTTTTTCTCCCTGCTTCATGAGTAGGTAGAGAAAACATTTCTTCAGAAAAAAAAGTTACTTCTGTGGCATTTTATTATGAAAGATTTCATGAAGCTTCAAATATTTTTGTGTGGCTGTATCTTAGGAGTTGGAGCAGGTTGTGTATTTGGAGGTCATCTACTATTCGAAAGGTTGGCGGTTCAACAGCTGCTTCAGTCTACATGCCAAACTATCCCTGGCAAGATACTGAACCCCAAGTGGCTCTCTGACGCATTTATCAGGATGTGAATGTTAGACAGTGTGAAGATAGAAAAGTCAGATAAAAAGCACTTATGCATAAAAAAGAGTTCATGTGTGAATGAAACATTTTATAAAACACTTTGAGTGCTTCAGTAGGAAAACACTACTGTATATAAGAACCAGTCTATTTACCATTTTTCCACTAAAAACTGATTCCAGCTGCCTAAATCAATGTTATGCATCATCTGCCTGAGACACCATTATATTTCAGGCTCATCAGCACATATAAAAATCTCTGTCCGTCTGTGGTTGACTCAGGGTTTGGGGTTTTCATACAATAAAAATACATGATTACAGTGCAGGAACAGAAGGAAGCCTGAAAGCCTGTTCAGCCAGCAGGAGTCTCTGAAGTACAGCAGGTCATTTTCTACAGCTTTTCTTTTCCAGTTCAAGTTTTGAAGTAATCAAAAAATGATAAAGAGCTCATATTATTATTTTCAGCCTGTTCCTTTAGGAATTGCCACAGCAGATCATCTACCTCCATCTTACCCTACACTGACAGAGATGTCGTCCTTCGACATCCATCTACATCTATGCGTCTTCTCTGTGGTCTTCCTCTTCCATTAGCTTGATCGTTCAACATCCTAAGTCCCATATACCCACTTTTAAACATGTCCATCTCAGCCTTGCCTGCAAGCCCCTCAACCTGAGTTTGTCCTTCTGATATGCACGTTTCCATCCTGTCACTGTCCGTAACTGCAAAAACATACATCACAACAGGTCTCGCTACCTTATTGTAACCCTTCCCTTTCACCTTTGCTGCTATTGTCACCCACTCCACCCCACCTGGCTAGATGTAAGACGCAGTCTGTCTCAAAGCGACTTATATTCCTGTTGTTTCCCATGCGTATCCCTCCAGGCTCTACCTGCTCACTACAATTACTTTTGATTTTTGTTACTCAAAAGAAGCAAAAGAAAACAAAATAAACACAACGTGATACAAATGAGCAACAATAAAACTATAAATCAAACTGTTCATCAAGAACCAACAATTTACTGATGCTTAAATTGAAAGCATTTTGATCTATTTATTAGGAACACCTGTGCAGGTAATGCCATTGACACTGGACCGCATCAGAAAGATGATTAAAGTTTACTGGGTGGTAGCGCATTGGGCTCCTTTATTATATTTTTACATTGGTTGTTTTTCATAAGATAAAGTAATAACAAAGGAAATGAACCTAAATAATCACTCACCTCTGAATTCTTAAAAATATATTTAATTAAAGTTTCATGACCACAGCATGGACATCACCTTCTCCCCGTCAATCTTATTAGAAACTTATGGACACAAGCCAACACCTCTCTAAAATGAACTTGGGCAGCCAATAGAGAATACAGCTATTTCAAATCACACAGGGTCAACTGATTAATGAAATAATCGAGCACAAATCTGGATTTCAGTCTCACATGGCGACAGACGTTTGCTTTTGGATTTTTCATGATGACCCCCAAACGTTTCTTTTTCAAAGCAGCAGCAGGACAGTTAAATCAGCAATAAGCTTGAGACAGGATACACGTTTACAGCATGGAAGCAAAGCTTAGATTATTTCCTTTATCTGTGAGCTCTCAATGATGTGACTGTGTGCACTTTTCAGAGGCGTCGACGCAGCAGGAACATGAAGAAAACCGCACTGATGAGGATGCAGAGTGTACACACAGTGGGAACCACAATCTCTGTTACCATCTCCATGTGGCCTATCAATGGATCTGCAACGCGTACATGGAACCAAGAGTTAGTGTATCGCCATTTATTCAATTCAGCTTTATCTATTCAGCTCAAGGCATTTTATATTGTAAGGTAGACCCTACAATCATACATAATACATTTAGAGCCCCAGCTTACTTACATTTTTGATTTAGTTGTGTACTATAAAAAATAATTTTTCCTTAGTGCAAAAGCACAGCACTCTTTTAACAGAATGATAAGATGGGATGCTATGGTGGTGAGGATCAGAAAAACCCTTTATATACTTCAGCATGAACATATTATACCAATTTTACAAAGAAAATGATAAAACAGTAACAAATACCTAGAGTTACAAATACAACTAAATATAAATGTAGAAATACATGTTGAACATGTTTATGGTGTGAAGCTCTGACTGTTTTACTTTTGGCTATTTCTAATATGGGTTCATTCCTGGTGTAAGATGATTCTATTCAGCAGCTTTTCCTTAACTTGTGTGACTCGTTCTATTGTGGAGTTCACCACCATCTACACTCTAAAATAACTACGAGGATATTCAGCATTGTTGTGACATTATGTTGTGCATGAGCTTGGTGGCTGACTAATCTGAACAAAGAACATACAGTGCAAATGAAATGCAAATAAAACAAATATTAATTGTAACATATTAAGTGTTATATAATGTTAGGAGTGATTAATTTAATTAAGTGATTGTCAAATGTGCGAGCAGGGCTTAAACTGAGCTGGAAGGACGTGGAATAGCGTTCCGGCCCCTTTAATTAATTTCAATCTAATAAGCAGATTAGTTCATTTTTTGTGTCCTGCTAGTATGGCAATATTTACTGAGTAATAAAAAAAAATCCTGATATCCTTTTCCCCTTCTCATCCCTGTGATTTGTTTATGGTGCAGATGTAAGTAAAAGTGGCTGCAGTACAGCAGAAGACGAGTGAGCATAAAGGGAGTGAAGCTCAAAATCCCAAACACACAACCAAACGCACAGTTTCTGTGCAGTTTGGTCCAAAATGTGTCTGCTCTCTAAAGGTGCAATCGCTGTGAGAGAAAAAGATGTTATTATGTAACAGTACTGGAGACGGGGAAAGAAAGACAGGATGGAGAAATTATTTTCAAAGTTAAGGACCGCTCACCACATGAAATGTAAATTTAAAGCTTACATATAACACCCTCGCATATTCTAAGGCTCCTATCTGTACCTGATGTGTTGCTGAAATGTGTTTTGACTCAGCAAAAGCTGGGAGAATCACATTAATCTCACACAGCATCAAAGTATGTACCTAAACTTCATCATGGATTGACCAAGCCTGTTCCATTCCTGCAAGTTCCTGATTTTCCTTTGACTTTCTTCTAGCTGGAGGGGCAAAACAAAGAAAAACCCTGTTAGATGAGACAAAAACAAGCTTCAGACTGAATTTTCCTTTGTTTGGCCCCACCAAGCTTTTTACAGCCCACGCACTACTTCATTATACTAACCTGCAGCCAGCAGCTGGTTACTGGAGGAGCACGTCTCTACAGCTTTCCTCTTCCAACTTTCAACCTGTAAAGCCCAAACAAGCCCTTGTTTAAGCATAGTGTCTTCACCTCCATGGGGGACTTTTAGCATGAAGTGTGTAGCGTTTACCTCTCTCTGATTGGGAAAGCCATTTGAGCTGATAATGCGTTTGTAGTAGTGGACAGAAGCTTTTGGGTAGCGTGGCTTATTTTTGCTCCTGAAGTCCACGTAGTAGAGCCCAAACCTCTCAGAGAAGCCTTCATCCCACTCAAAGCTGTCGAGGAGAGACCAGGCCGTGTACCCCTTCACATTGACCCCATCTTTTATCGCTGTAAGTCGAATCGTGGACACTCGTTTGATTGACATCATATCTAATGTACACAGGTTTGATATTTGATAGGCAGTTTTTGAGACAGTGACGTCTTCCTGGGTTTCACCTTTGAGCATTTCGTTGATGTAGTCTTTGAAGTACTTCATCCTCCAGTCGTCACAAAGGTCGGTGCACAGCATTTTCTCTGACACACCATTTTCTGTCACATAGATCATGGGGTTTCCATACTGAGTCTGTTAGTGAGATGCCATATCACATATTTTTGTTATTATATTTGCTGAAAAACTATATTTCAAATGAATACAGTATCACCCAGGTTCACAACAGAAAGACATCAACAATTTATATAATGCTGATACATTTGCCATACATGAACTTGTCATGAGTGATCAGTTCATCCAGTCTTCACTGTGAATATGTCCATGATGCAGTGGTTTCACACAAAGCCCCAGTTTTCCCCAAATACAGCTCGAGTTTGAATTTGAATAGCTCAGTAATCAGGATGTGTACCTTAACAAAGTTCAACAAGCGTCGGAAGCCCCAGGGAACGGAGTAGAGCCATTCAGAACCAGGGTCAGGCCATTGTGGGTCAACCAGTTCAGCAAGGTCACGGTCAGAGAAATAGTTGTCTCCAGCTCCTGATGGGTAATTCTTCAGAGTGACATAGCGAGTTGTGAAATGTCCAAGACCCAAGAAGTCACAGGTGCCCTTGATGTAACTTTTCTCCTGAGGAGAGAAGACGGGCAGCCGCGAAGCTCCCAGACCCTGCTGGCCACTCTTCCTGCCTGAAGAAATTTAGTACACTTTGAAACTAAGTGAAGCTATATGCAAGGCATCAATGACAGCAGGGGTGGGGGAACACAAGGAGCATAATATCAGACTGAAGTCACGCTAAAATTACAATGCACTAAATACTGAGTATGCAACTTCCTCTTATGCAAACAAAGAGAAGTGTTACATAGTGGATCTTGATTGATTCAGTATTCTGTTCAAACTAGCATGTATACAGCTACTACACATGATGACACTGGAATATAGGAATTAATCTACCAGCGGAGGTAATAGTGCATTCACTCAGGTTAAAAGCATTCGTGGTGACTTATTCGTGGCTGGTCACACAGAAAGTGAGGTGCATAGTTGTGTGACAAGTGTGTACACAAACCCCCAAGATCACAATAGGTTAGCACTTACTGCAGCGCATGGCTGTTTTCTTCCAGACCACAACATATTTGCTATCAACTACAAGTCAGGCTCTTAATTGCTATGTTTTGCTGTTGTGACAAAATCTGGCGAAAGACAGACATGTAACACTTTGCAAAGTACCCCCGGCCCCCCGTGCTTCTTTCTGCCAAAAGAGGTCTTCCATATACCTCAGTATAGCAACAGCTTCTAGCTCAGCTCTTCTTCTCAGTTTAGCAGTTCAGCAGTGTGTGTTGACCACTGAGTTTGAAAAGGCCAGGATCACAGCAGCTGCTTTGGAAAGTATTACTTCCTATTCAGAAATTCATGAAAATAAATGAATGACGTGGTGAGATTTTTCTCTTTGAAAGGGATGTACGTTAAACTTCCCTTGAAAATTCTTGACACATGTAGTTATATCATTTTTCTTTTTTGGGGTGAGGACATTTTTACATATTGCAAAGGTCTAAATGGTTGCATTTGACATACCAATGTAATCTTTCATAACTTGTGGGTAGTCTCCATGGAAGAGAGGTGTAGCAAACCAGCCCAAGTAGAACTGAATGTATCTCTCTGCTGCTTCGATATCCCTCTGGTTGGAGATGTCCACTGGTTCACCCCAGTCAGCAGTCAGCGAGATCCCAACCAGGCCTGCACACATGCAAGAGCTTTGTTGATAGAAATTATGCATGTGCATATATTATTTACACATAAATACAAACACACACACACATATATATATATGTATGTATGTATGTATGTATGTATGTATGTATGTATGTATGTATGTATGTATATAGATAGATAGATAGATAGATAGATAGATGAATGAAAGTTTTCCCTTTCACCTTTCTGTTTGCTTCTCCACTGCATGTCATACGTGTGCCATACTTTAGCATGTGCCTGTTGCAAAGATAGAGATGCAGGTTTAGCCTTATGTCTGTTCACCATTATTTTTTCAATCAAAGGTCCCAGTGAGATACAGTATCTTTTCTGGGAGTAACAAAAGTAACAAAATAAGATGTGAGGCTTCACGAAGAATAACGTACAAACTGCTACATAAGCAACAGAATATATTTGACCAATTTTAATGTAATATTTAACAAAACACAATAAACAAAAAAACATGCAGGAATCATACAGTAAAGAAAAATGTGTAAAATAATAACATAATAGTAAAGAGCATTTTTGTAAACACTGATTACAGTAGTGGTAAATAATTATTTGCTGCTCTGCTGAATTTAAAGTTTGTTCAGTTACAGATTCAGTAAAATATGTACGTGAGCAAACTTATAAATGAGCTCTCGACAGTTTGGTTTTAATGTAGGAGACAGAATATCAACCAAAACATGAAATCGTTGTTGGCAAGTACAGCGATAAGACATTTTTGTAGCTGATCACCAGGTTTGATTACATGTTGGGAGGGATTTGACCTTTGACCTGCCGTTTGGCTTCAGCTCCCACCACTGATTTTCTGCAGGACTGAGGTCTGGAGACTGGCTCAGCCACTTCATGACATTAATGTGCTTCCTGATGCCAAAGAACTTAATTTTGGTTTCATCTGAACACTGCACTTTCTGGCCTTCTCTTGGTAAAATTGATGGAATTATAATCTCGACAGCAACTGATTAGGAGCACCTTTGTTTTTCAAGTTTGCAATCATAGTATTAAAACTAATAATTGGAAATTATGGTAAATGATCAGATTTATCAGCAAAACTGGGCACAAGTCATTCAGTCCTACCTTGATGATATGGTGGGCGGCTTTGTAAGCTCCTGTTCCCTTCAGTTTCAGTCCAGGTGCATGTTCACCTGTTTCATATCCCTCCACAGCAATGGACTTAATAACGAGACACTGACAATCACTCTCTGACACAGCATACCGTATTACAACTGCAAACTGTGAAGGAACCATTTTTCTTTAACCTGACATACCCAAGGATTGTTGAAAGTAATCCAGTACTTGACTCTGTTTCCAAATCTTTCAAAGCATAAGTTAGCAAAGTCGTTAAAGTAATTCACCATGCTGATATTGTGCCAACCGCCATATTTCTCATGTAACACCTGTGGAGAGTAACATAGATTTTACTGTTGTATCTACAATCTAGCTTTGGATAAGAAACTATGTTGAGCAATAATATTAGTGCTTACCTGTGGTAAATCCCAGTGGTATAGAGTGACAATGGGTGTGATCTTGTTATCCAGTAGCATGTTAATCAAGTCACTGTAATATTTAATTCCTTTCTCATTGATTTTTTCACCTGTAAGAATTGAAAGTGACATACACTACATGGAGCAAAGTGCTGGGAAACTATACATTACACCTAATGCAATTGTTGGTTGTGGAAATCCACAGCATGAGGCTCACACATACAGTGTGAGCACAGTTTTTGTGCATCCATGAAAAACTTGCCAACCAGCTCGTTCTGCTACTGACTCTTGTTTGGTGTCATTTATTGACGTCTGAAGAAACAAGTTCATACTGGCAATTTCATTAAACAGACCTGGGCCTGAGTAGCATGAAGAACCATACACAGCTACAATACCCAGGCACCTCGTTGTCAGGCTGGACACCAGCTCGGTCACAGACTGGAGGAAGATGGACTTCAGACCTGAACTGTGGAGATGTGGGATTGCCACTGGGTGCCACATCTCATCTCGATATCATTCTGCATTGATATTGTCTCCAGTGATGATAAGCCTTGTTCATTCAGTGAGGGAGATGCCGCCCAAAACCATCACACTTACACCACCTAACGCTGTTACCCTATCAGTGCAACAATCAATCCACACTTTGACCCCACAATCCAACTGCTGCAGGGGGAATCTGGACTCTTCGGTGAACATATTGTTCCTCCACATGTTGAAGGTGAAAGGCAGTCATGGTAGGCTTCCTGGAAGCCCTATTAGACCAGAGCTCTGTTCATGGCTCCTAAATGCCGGTGTCATCTTTTTGGGATGTCCGCTTCACAACCTCTGACATCCTCTGTTCTATGAAACTATAATACTGCTGACACTTGGTTTTGTGCAACACATTCTTTAAGTTGCCCAATGGCTTGGTCCCTATCTGGGTGAGTCTTAGATTATCATAAGCTCACAGTAAGAGTCCATAGCAGAATAAGCTGTTTATACTGGCAAGTTTATCATGGATGCAACCGCCATATTCAGCTCTACTGCTCAACCCACAAATGCATTTTCCTTACACGTGTGGCACAATTTAAGAGGAAATAAATAGATTTTCAAAGGGAACGAAGTATTGTTACAACTAAGAAAAAATCACGCAAATACAAATGTCCTAATTTTTTGTGCAAATTTCAGATATATACATTTTTAAATGATGTCATATTTATGCTTACTTTTCAGTCCAGTGGGTAAAATCCTTGGCCAGGAAATGGAGAAACGATAATGATTCAGCTTCATGTCCTTCATCAAGGCAATATCGTCCTTAAAGACAGACAGCAGGAAATATTTCTTTAAATAAATCACAAAAGACGATGTCTTTAGATGTGAGTCTTTGTCTGATAACATATGAAACAGCTCTACTTTATATTATCTTCAGATAAAGCTGTAATCAGATTGAATGTTTCCTAAAATTCCTAAAACGTATTTTCCATTCTAACTATAACAGTTCTGGATGTTGGTTGGGGTGTAGGAGTCATAAGTCATGTGGCTTATGTTGGAGTCTGTGGTTTGATTTGAATGTAAGACCACTCTTTTATTTTATTTACTTACTTTCATGTTGATTTTTTATTTTTACATCAACTTTTAAATTGATCTTTTACTTAATATTTACTTTTACTTTACTCACTGTCAGGAGTCTGACACCTTTTCAAAATGTTACCTTTAGTGTAAAAGCTATTCCTTCACATTCTGGGCTGCAAATAAACATTAGTAGGAAAGCAAGAAAACGGAACATATATTTTTATACTACAGTTATATTTGTAATATGCATCCATATGTAATGTAGGCTGTGATAATGAATGTTAGAGGAAGAGAAACGAGTCATTTAGATCAGTTGAGCAATAAAATATTGTGTGTAACAGTTTGGCACTGAAGAAAATCCCATTTTTTCCACGTCACCTTGAATTTGTGGTATCCCTCACATGAAGAGTCTGCTGTGTCGTTCAAGAATATTTTCCCCTTTTTATGGGAAAATGCATCCCAGATGCTTATTCCCTTTCCATCCACATTCCAGGCTCCTTCAGTCTGGTAAGCAGAGCTGCCAACTCCCCAGGAGAAACCTGCAGAGGAACAAAAAACAATCAACAAATCTTATTTTATTTTGTATTCACTCCTGAGCTTATAATCATGATCACATTACGGTTTTCCAGGTTAAGGTAGAATTTTATATTTATGTTTAATTATATGATCAACTTTTAAACCAACATGAGCACTTTAAGAACGTTTTATTCTTACTTTGTTCTTTAATAACATTTTGTGCCCAGAAAAAAATTATGGCAACTTAGGAAAGATCCGTCTGTCATGAAGATTGTGTGATATGAACAAACGCTGCAGAACAGCAGCTGGAGACACAGGTTTCCTATACAGTGTTGCATAATATGGAATTAAAAGTCATGCCTTCATAAGTATTGAAAAAGCAAAAGAGAAAAATGTCATAATATATTTATGTTCTGAAAACTCTCGGTCAGACAATAAGCATTTGTATGTTTTTCACAGCCTTTTGAGCCTTTTGAGCAGACACTCAGTATCAAAACATTTATGTATGCCAGGAAGCAAGTAGTGCATGTTCAAAAAATTACAATATCATGGAAAATATCTGATTTTTAATAATAGGATTTAAAAAAGGGAAACTTTCCTTATTCTGTCTTCACCACACATCAATTAAAATAGTTCAAGGCTTTGTTCCATTAATTATGAGAGCTTCCTATTAGAGTACATCACTATTCAAACTGTAATACTGTATATATTTCAGTCTAGTTCAGTATATTCAGCCCTAAGGATGGCTGCTGACTTGATATTTGTCCACATGATTATCATCAACACCCCATAATGGATCAATTAGATCAGTTGGAGGTGTTGTTGGCCGACAGGTTGCAGGTGGAATACGTGATGCTGTGGACCAAAGGTACAGGAAGAGGAGGCCAGGTGGAGGTTGTATTAGGAGGCAGTGAGAGAGAAGAAAAGGCGGAAGTGTGGAAGAGTAGGGACTCTGGGGATTATGACTGGTTCAGGGGTATGTATGATGGAGAGAAGGAAGGTTGATATTATAATGTAGGCAGGAAACTAGGTAGAAGAGAAGCAGGGCCAGGAGCACCGGAGCTGTTCTGTCACGGTGTAGATAATAACAGAAATACAGCAGGGGTGATCTTGATGGAAGAGTATGTGAATAGTGTCGTGGGGTAAAGAGAATATCAGCTAGGATCAAGAGTTTGAAGTTAGAAATTAAAACAGTGATGTGGAAAATGTTAGGGGTGCATGTGCTCCACAAACAAGGAATTCGGGAGTAAGTTGTGTGAAGTGGGAGAGAGAGTCTCCAGGGGGAGATTGAACAGATATCAGTGGAAAAGGAAGCAGAGGTGATGAGGTGTTCGGCAAGAGACAGAGAAATGCCGAAGGACACATGGTAGCAGATTTTGCATAAAGGATGGAACTGGCTGTTGTAGAAACAGATTTGAGAAGAGAGAGGAACACTGAGTGACATACTAGAGTGGAGGATGGTGCACACGGGTGAGCTACGTCTGAGTGATAGCAGAATGTAGCTACACAGCATTGGATGGGTTCTGTAGGATGACTTTGGACTTCAAGAAGAAGAAGCAAGTGAAGGTAGAAACAGCTTTTAAATGGTGGAAGATGAGGATGAGGCTTCATGCTGAGAAATAGCTCTGCAGGTGCAATGTTAGCTTTGAGATTCCTAATAAAGAAGTATACAGATGGTCAGAAGGAGTTTCACTCTGTCTTTGTTTCTAGAGAAACTATATGATAGTTCCACGAGAGGAACCCTGGCATTGCATAAGGAAGTTAGGGGAGGTATGTGAGGCTGGTGCAGGACAGTAAGATAGTGGTGGGGTAGTAGTGAAAGTCCATAGAAGTATGACAGAGTACATGTGTGTGAGTGAGAGAGAGGCACGTTGAAAGGTTAGAATGCAAGAAGCAGAGGTAGTGAAGGTAGAGGATGGGGTCAACCATCCAAAGTAAGTCAGGTGAAGAAGAGAGTTCAGACAGGGTGGAGTGGGTGTAGATGAGTAGCGGGTGGGATTTGTGGGAAAAAGCCAGAGTGAAAGAAAAATTTACATGAAAGATGGTATACAAAGTTCAGAGATGATATTACTGACAAAACGACAGGAAGCCAAGTCGGAGGTGGTAGAGTTGAAAATATTACGATTTTCATCAGGAGTGACCAGAATGGACACGATTAGAAAGAGGAGGAATGGTGAATATAGTAAACAAAGAATGTTGAAAATGAGCTGCCAGTCCTGAGGAAAAGAGAAAGACCTTAGATGTATTATAGCTGTATTGAAGGAGGATGCTGGGGATAGGGTGAGATGGAGGAAGACAATCCGCTGTGGGAACGTCTGAAGGGTGAAGTCAGAAGAAGAACAAGTAGTAGTGGAAGAATCTTACGCTTGATTCATTTATGAATTCTCAGATAACTCCAGTTGCTGATGACTAAGATATTTGTATTTTCTTGGTTTTGTGACAGATTGTTTAATAAATTGGTTACATAATAAAGATTTAACTCTGAGCACTGAAAAAGAAACATGAGTGTGAAAAAGTGCGGGATTTGGGATTTGCATGTAAGAACTAGGAATACTCGATTCTACCAACAAAAATGAGCTTAGCTGAATATACCAGAGAGATATTTTATATATACGGACACTATATTGCTCTCCTGTGGAACTGTAAGTCCAGCATGTGGTCTGCTGGTCTCCTGGTTTCCTACCAGTTGGGAAGGTGCCGTAGTAGAAGGACGTTCTCTCGTTCTTTGTCCAGTCAAAGTCCTCAGTGGCTGACACACATAGCACCAAGGCAAGCACATGGTGTGGTCTCAGGATTCCCCACTGCAGCATTGTCATCTTTGGCAAAGAGAGCACTGTCTTTAGTTACAATTGACTAGCCAGATTTTAGCACACATTTAACATCCTCATAGCTTGCACATTCATTTTTTAAAGTGTAGTGTCTTCATTACACTAATCCTACTCATATTTTGGAACGGCACAAAGGACTTTTTTGGAAAAAATATAAATACCTTTTGATTTTCTTTGTACCCTCGTGAATAATCAAAAAACAAACAAACATATTAGGGTAGGATTAGGTTTGTCACCAGTGATGACATAGACCTCATAGGGTTAATGGCAGTAATGTGTGGGATGGCAGCTGCTGCAAGGCTTCAGTCTGCTCTGAACTATACAGGATGGAATATCACAGAACATGCATAAATGTTTAAGTAAAACAAAGACTCAGAAACTTACACTCAGGTGTCAGGTGTCCACAGGTTTTGAGTAAAATCATCCTAATTCAACCCCAAACCTCAGGATCATTTAAATATCCACTGAAAAAAGTTACATATCCACCGAAACACCCAGTCATTGTCAGAAGAGCCTAGTTTCATTTCAGCCAGCTGTAGGACACACTGACACAAAATGCTATCAGAGACAGAAAATAAGCCAACTTGTCCAACACGGTTAGGATGACTGACATTTCAAGCTGCTAAATCTTTTCAAGGATGTGGAAGATTTTAAAAAGTAAGAGTGGGGAAGAAATACGAAATTGCCCTTAATTCCTGTGCTGTTTCTTTCCCTATACTTTCCCCTTTGCTCAGCCTGTGTCGCCCCAACCACCTCACTCAGAACCACATATAGATGTCTGACCTGCTGCATTTGTCTCAGTTGGAAACTGCTCCAAAATGCAAGAAAAGTCTCCAAGCTTCTCCACCTGATCAGTGTTCGCCAGCGTTACTAGCTGGTTCGCTGCCAATGGTAACAAAAACAAAACCGAGTCGAGTATCCAGGACATTTTCTGCTATTCATCAGCACATGTACAGCAACCCCCACCCCACCAGACGCACACTGAATACCTCTCCATTTGAAAGCAGTGAAGTGTGAGCATAAAGCTTTTGCTGGGGCCAACAGATCTTTTTGAAAAGGAGGGATTTTGACACTGTAAGCAAAGTTAATGGCAGAGAGCATACTTTGTTTGCAAAACACATCAGAAGATATTTAAAAAGTTATCTGCTGGATGTGACTACTGGTTAAACCTCTATTTGGCAGCAGTAATGTTTGTTGGGTTAGTTTGTCTCTGGCGTAGCTGAGTACAATACTCAGGTGGGGAAGAATTTCAGTACAATCTTCCTGACAGATGTGCTTCAGCTCGGCCACATGTTTTTTCTTGATGCATCCTCCAGCTTCAGCTGATGTTTCGGCCAACTCAGCGTTATTGTTTTAGCTTCATACGACCACTAGCCCATTACAGCTATGTAAGGGTAGGGTCTGTGGTAGTACCGTCTATATTAGTGTCCCAGTGCTGAATTATTATGATCATTATTGCCATTGAAGTCAAACATTCATTAATTTAGAAAATACAGGAAATAATCAGTCAACATTTTCATATGATAACCTTCTATTAGGTAAAACAGTTTGCTAGAGCACATGAGTGATGAAGGTAAAGGTTAGGTACTGGTTCCACTGGGACAGGCCTTTCCATGACCTGCTGTGACTCAAGAACATTACCAAAGTCCACCACTTGATTCAGATCCAGTCTGAAATGAATAAGTTCTTAATTTTCCCATGATTCCCACTCTAGCTAGATTCAGGAATACAAAGTGTGGTCATTTTTCCTGGAGTTCTGAAACCAGAAGGTGAAACAATCAGAACAATACCACGTTTTCATTACAGTCGGGTTTGCAGAGGTGACGCTCGTATAGTAGAAGCTCACCAGCCTCAGGGTCATGACCACTTCAGTAAATACAGTGTGGTGGAGCGGGGCCCTGTACTAAGCATGAATGCAGCCATTATCATAAGATGCTTTGTTTACAGAGCTTTGTTGAGAAATGCTGAAATGTTCAGAACTAAAACTGTTGGCACTGCACTCTCACTTTATGTTTGGGTGCTGAAGCTGTGCTCTCTGCTTGTTGTGTTTGCGTTCACGCATCTGTTTCACTTGCTCGCTCTATGTGCATTTGTATATTGTTGTTGTTTTTTAGTGCACTGCATGTGGTTGCAGTGTTTGCGGCTGTGGAAAAAGGAGACAAACATGGGTTTAGCATATCAAAGGCACAAGGGCCCCAACGACTGTTACAGAAATGTTTTGAGATTTCTAGCACTTGTCCGCTCACCTCAGCTGGCCATATTTAAGGGGCTTTATTGTAGCCTCGCAGAGCTGACATGAACATCTTTACTAAGGTCCCAGGATTAGTCCAACAAACCAGGTATGTTGAGAGTGCCCTACTCTGGCCACAGTCCACAGAGCAAGACACCCACCAGTGTTATTGAGGTGGGTGGGCCTGTGGCTTTACAGCCAGTTTCTCCTGATTATCATGCTGTGCTCTCTGTGATGCCTCCAACACCAGTTTCCCAAAATCACCTGGAGAGTGATGAAGGCTGTATGCACACATACTGTCTCGCATTTTAAAGTGCCAGATGATAGCGCTAATCCAAATTAATCTGAAGCATGAAACTAATTTGATGTAAGAGTTGGAAATAGAGATAAACACTGCAGTGATTTTTTTTTTTTAAAGACATTTTCAAAGGCTAAAGTCTTGACTTTTGGTTCCAGAACACAGACTGGGGAGTTTCTTTGATCGCTGTAGTTTATGTCTTGATTATTACATGTGTGTCTATATATAATTCATTCAAAGTTTTCTGTATCTACAGCAAGCTGGGGTCTGTGCTCCAACGTGCCTTCTACGGGTCCAGTGGGAGGGTGAGTCAAATAATTACTTAGTTACTTTGTCAAAGTATAGATGGGTTTCCTAATATAAAGTGACTAGAATAAAAAAAAATGAGTCAATCTGTGACACATAATTTGAATTGTCAAGTTAATTAGTAACTATTCTGATAATTGAGAAATCATGTTGGTCATTTTCACACCAAAAGAAAAAAACTGGTCGACTTAACCTTCACCTAACACATAAACCCACACACTTCCGTTTAAGAGAGCATAATGTTATTTTTATACAAAAATTTGCTTAAAGGCATACCTTTTAAAATTCTTTAAGACATTTAAAATCTTAGCATCACATCTTACATCACTTTATCAAAAATAAACAAATCAACAAAAATCATTTATGATTTGACTTGGTGTTGTTTAAATCAAACAAACTTCATCCATCCCTGCATACGTTTTCTTCTGCTTATCCGGGGCTGGGTTGCAGGGGCAGCAGCCTAAACAGAGAAGCCCAGACATCTCTCTCTCTCCCCGGCCACCTCCTCTAGCTTGTCTGGGTTAACACCAAGGTGTTCCCAGGCCAGCCGAGAGATAAAATCTGTCCAGCGTGTCCTGGGTCTGCCCCGGGCCTCTTCCCACTGGGACATGCCCAGTACACCTCACCCAGGAGGCGCCCAGGAGGCATCCTGGAGGCATCCTTTGACATGGCTACCCAGATGGCTGAATTCCTCACCCTGTCTCTAAGGGAGAGGCCAGCCGCCCTGAGGGACACGGTCGAATGCCTTCTCCAAGTCCACAAAACACATGTAGACTTGTTGGGCAAACTCCCATGAACCATCAAGTATCCTCGAGAGGACAAAGAGCTGGTCCAGTATTCCACGACCGAGATGAAAACCGCATTGTTCCTCCATCTGTTAGTCAACCGAGGTTTGGCTAACGGATGGACTCTCCTTTCCAGACTTTGGCTGTAGGAGAGGCTGAAGAGTGTGATCCCCCTCTGGTTGGAGCATGATGGTTCCCTTCACCTCTGCTGTCCACCATCTGGTTTGGGGGTTATCATTAATGGAGTAGCTCCAGCAATCGAGGTGCTGAACATGGTCCATTCAGACTCAATGTCCCCAGTCTCTCTTGGAATAGTGTTGAAGCTCAGCCAAATGTGGGCATTTAAGATCTCACATTGTCTGCTAGGTGTTCCCAGCGCAGCCTCATTGACAGCGCAGCCTCCCCCGCCACCTGATCAAACTTACTATAAGGTGGTGATCAGTTGACAGCTCACCACCTATCTTCACCCAAGTGTTCAGAACATGCGGCTGCAAATCTGATGATACGACTACAAAATCCAGAATCGACCTGCGGCCTAGAGTGTCCTGGTGCCATGTGCACTTATGGACACCCTTATGTTCGAATATGGTGTTCATTATGGACAAACTGTGGTTTGCACAGAAGTCCAGTAACAAAACACCACTTGGGTTCAGATCTGGCAGGCTGTTCCTCCCAGTCAGGGCCTTCCAGGTCTCTCTGTCACATGAGTGCTGAAGTCTCCGAATAGGATGACAGAGTTCTCAGGTAGAGCACCCTCAAGCACCCCGGCCAAGGTACTCCAAAAAGACCCGGTACTCTCAACCGCTGTTTGGCACATAAGTGCAAACAACAGTCAGCATCCATTCCTTGACCCAAAAGCGCAGGGTGCAAACAATCTTATCTACCAGGAAAAACCCCACCGTACAAACAGCAAGCCGAGGGAATACTAAGATACCCACCCCAGCCCTCTGCCTCTCACTCACTCAGGGCAACTCCAGTCTAACACAAAGTTCAGGCCCTCTCCAGGAGACTGGTTCAAGCCGTGCGCTGTGGTGAGCCTGACTATATCTAGCTGGTACCTCACCAGAGAGGTAGAGGTGACACTCCATTTCCCAATAACTAGTCTAGGTAGTCTCAGTGTCTCTCTCTCTCTCTACATATATATATATATATATATACATATACAGTATATACATATATATTACATTTAGAGCTGAAGCCTGGGAGATTTTAGCTTGACTTGGCATAAAAACTGGATTCAGGGAGGAATGTCTGTCCTTTGGCTCTATCGGAACTTTGTATCTCTATGTAAAACTGATCAATCGGTCTGTTTTATCTTGGTTGTTTAGCATCTTCACTAAAAAAACCCCACGAAAACCACAAT